CCCTAAATCTTCCTGGGGAGAGACCGCGTGTGTGCCTTGTAGGAGAAAAAAAGAACTTCTAGGAAAGGGACACATCGTGTTTCCTCGAGCAAGTGCTGAATGATGTTCAGCAAGGAAATTCAGCCTAGGTATGCCCGCTTGCTGCGATGGTGAGCACATATATCCAAAAAGCATGAGGACCAAGATCGTGTACCAACTGAGACAACGCTTTGCCCATTCCTGCTACCACACCATAGCTTTCGCATCCTACTATACGGCAAAAAAGAGCAGTTAGGAAAGGAAAGCTTTCATTGGGAGTATTAAGCGATACTTAGCAATCACTCCGAGTTCAGAGAGGAAACGACTATTGAAAGAAAATGCGATCGACCACTGTTGGCTCTAGGTACGCCGCGCACTTGGCATCAGCTAAGCTTTCGTGGAGGATTTGAATGCGTTGTTGGTCAATACAGTAGCGCTGTGTAATAAGTCCTGATTCACTAAGCCAATGACGTTGCTATTTATTACTTTCAACATTTCGATTAGACCCTCTATATCCCCCTTTACTTGCTTTGTCTAGCGTTGCTGATGGGGTTTTAATTACCGAAAAACCCAAATATAAAAGAGCAGATGTTTTTAGTAGGTGCTTTCATTCTCGCAAGTGGGTACGTGACAAGAAAATCGTAATTCACCTCGCTGGTGGGCGTCGCGTGCCACGTCGCGCCATGCAAACGACGGTGTTTCAGATAGTAGACGGCGACAACAGGCAATTCAGTACCGAGATAGTCATGAATATCTGCGATGACGGGTCTACATGAAGTCCGGTGCTCCGTCGACAGGTCAACACGAGTTAAGAAAACGCCGCGCCTACCGCCGTCCGCGGCGGAGCGGCAAATTACGATTCTCTTGCCCGTCTCCCCTCGCGAGTATGTCCTTTATTGAGTGACTGACGAATTTCTATTCCTCCAAATTCCAACAACTTTCTAGAAAAGGTTTCTTATCCCCCTAGAATTCTGAGCGGAGACCCGCTACGTTGATGGAGTACAGTGTTGGTTGCAAATATGAAAACAAGAACATGAATTTTCCAAGTTAGTCCTAGGCGATGAAGGCCGCCATATTCGTTATAGGCTTGCTACCTGGACGACAAGCGTTTCCGCGCTATATGTTTATTAAATTCGGGTTCAGAGAGTCAAATTACACCTGGGAGCGAGTCTCTACACAACTAAAATGTTCATATGCCACCAAAGCTTAGCATCTCTGCAAGCCGTGGCCACTCATAGAAACTGTACAACATCGTTG